TATCGCCCGACGCCCGGGACATGCAGTTTCGGGCGCCGGGCGAGTAGTTTCTTTTTGTACATTCAGCCTTGCTCCTGACAAGCAGAGCTGAATGTACAGTGGGAGCCGCTGTTCGTTTAATACAAGGGATCTAATTAGATCCCTTGTATTAAATCGAGCGGCATCGGCGATCGTGTCCGCCCCCCGCCGTGGTTTTCAGGGTCCCCCGTTCCTCTGGGGGACCGTGACCCGTCACGGTCCCCCATAGGAGCTCACTATAGAGCCCATTGAGCAGACGAAGAACGTCGTTCTTCGTCTGCTCTGTGTGATTACTGAGACAGCGCCACCTGTCTCAGCCGTCACTAACTGCAGTTTCTGTGACAGAATTTCTGTCATAGAATTTCTGTCACAGAAGCCATGCGTCCTATCGTCCGGAGCGTCTTATAGACCGCAAAATAGGTATCTTTTTTGTGTATCACTCGGCGGTAGATCCTCAAATCATCTCTGAATTGGTGCCGACACTGTCCTACCTTCTGGAGGGTGGCTACTTATGTTCCCTGTCTGTGAGTCTCTGTGTGTGTTGTAAAGTAGTCACCGCTCCAAGCTCACTCCTGTGATGGACTACAATCTCACATTTATTTACTAATTTGTATTGAGATTGTAGTCCATCACGAGAGCGAGCTTGGAGCGGTGACTACTTTTCAACACACTCAGGGACCATGGGGAGCAAAAGTAGCCACCCTCCAGAAGGAAGGACAGTGTCATCACCAATTCAGAGATGATTTGAGGATCTACAGATGAGTAATACACAAATAAGATACATTTTGTTAATAGTTAAGGTATGTAAATGCATTTTTTTAGATTTAACTCGAGTGTAGTGTCACTTTAACTTGTTTTTTTTTCTTTTAGTAATAAAACCCTCGGTTTATTTTGACACTGTTGGGAATTAATTAATGCAGACTTAGTTACTGAAAGTTTCCCTCAAAAACCAGCTTCACTATTTCCGGCACACTTGATATTGTCTGACAAACTTAGATGTCTGGGTCCTTTATGCCTAAATATGGTTTTGGGTCCATCACATACGTGCATTTACCAGCAGTATAACCTATCTTTTTAACAACAGGAAAAGGCAGGGACACTTTAAACAGACGTTTAGTCTATGGAAGTTGTTCAGATCTCCGCTCTGCATTGCTGTCAAAAGAAACAAAGCCTTCCTGTTCTATTTTGTTTCTTCTGTAATGTGCATTAAATGAGCCCCGAGGAATAAACTGTATAGTATGAAAACTCTTAAATGTGATTATATGTGCTTTGATCAGATTCTTCCTCTTCCTAGAAGTCCCACCTAAGTCATTTTCAAATACAGTTGGAATCTCATTGAAGATGTGCACTGCGGCATGTACAAAACTGAGATCCCTAAAATATTGTACCAAGTGGCTAATGTTCCTTTGTTGCTCTGTCGCAACTTTATGCTATGGGGCACTGTGTCCTATTGAGGCATTCTTAAAGGAGAACTATGGGGTTAAGGCTTTTCCCCATAGTTCTCCTTAGGGTAACGGGAGGACACAAACTAGCGTCCTCCCGTCACCTTAGGCTCAGTATACAGCTCGCTGTATACTGAGACGCCGCAGTATACCGCGAGCTGCTGCTCGCAGTATACTGAGACGCTGAAGCGGATCCAGACAATTATGCCGGGATCCGCCCAGCTGCGTGACTGACATCTGGCTCTGCCTATCTAGAGGCAGAGCCAGCTGTACCCGCCCCTCCCCCGTCCGTTCCGCCAGTCAGCGCTGTCGGAGCGGGGAGGGGGGAATCTCCACTAATTCTCCACTAATTCTCCACTAATTCAGAAATGATTTGAGGATCTACAGCCGACTGATACACAAATAAGATAAATTTTTGCTAATAGAGTGCCAGAGTTCCAGGAAGTAAAGGGAGATGGATTAATCTGCCCTTAGTAAAAATGGCCACTGTCAGAAGAATGGAGAGAAGAAAAACAAGGTGTGCAAAGAATTAAAATGTTGCAATTATCTAGAAGTATGTGTTTGTAGTTTGCCATTTATAAACATTTCTAAAGGTGCCTCTGTTGTTATTTTGAAGATAAGAGTAAAGTTCCTCTTTAAGCTGGCCATACACTGGTTTAGTTTGGTCTGACCAGTGTGTGGCCCAGGTGGAACCCCTCCATCTGGGAAAAGTTGACTTTTCAATTGTCTTTTGTTGAAGGAGCAAGTATGAAAATTCTCCGCCAAACACCCCACACATCGCTGTCGGAATACAATAGCCGAGGGGCTCGCCCAACTAAAGTGGTTTTTGGGAGTACAGAGTGTCAGCTTCCTTCTTCTGATCAAAGCAGGCTCAAATGAATCAAAGCATTTTTTTTTTGCTAAGCTGATCTTATATGAGTACTTAATACCCCCACCTGTGGTATAGTTTTACCTACACTTTCAGGTCACCACCAGTTTGAGGCTCTATTTATTCATATGTACTATACAAGGCATTTTAAAAGTCTAAAATAAATGGTTTCTTGGACTTTTAGAGCCCATGGGCTTTGCACAACATTTTGTAAAATCAATATGCATTGGGAAGGTCAGTGACTGTTTAGAAAATGGAAAAGTGCCAGCGCAGAGCTTCTGCTTGATGTATTAGCTTTGTCGCCAACACAGTTAATAAGGTCAAACCCCAGAATTTGTAAAACTCAGGCTTTTGACTTTACGCGTGTCGGCAGTTTGAGTACCAATTTGTTTTATCAAGCTGGTTAGCTTTGGGTTCATTTTGAACCTTTTCATTAGTGACATTCTTCTGTGACTGGCCCACCCTGCTCAGCTTCATCCCTTGCAAAATATTGTATAGATCAAAATGATAAAGAGGAGAGATCTGTTGCTGGCCATGGATGGGTCTTTTAACCTAATCCCTGGGAAGCCCCAGCATTTGGCCACTCTCCATACTAAAACAGTATACGTTATGAAGGTTCGGCAGCTATGTACCTGAATGGTCTACACACAGCAATTTCCCTGGCTGCAGGCCAGAATGACAGAAATAATCTTAAAACATTAGATTTGTTTCAGACAGTTTAAATGCAATAAAATTCAGTGGCAGATAGCAGCTGCAAGACAGATGTGGTAGTATAGGAATATATGGAGTACCGTATATGAAAGTAGTGCTAGGAGTATATATAAAAATAGTTTCTACAGTCATGTACTGAATGGTGTCTTTTCATCTACAGGATCCTTCAGTTACACAGGTGACCAGAAATGCACCTCCCGGGTTAGAAGAGTATAATCCATTCTCAGACTCCAAAACCGTAAGTCTCCTCCCTGTATTCTGCTAAGGTTAAAGGGTGTAGATACTGCTGAAGAGCAGGCACCAAAAATACCTTCCGAAATTTACTAATCTGGTTCTGGGATGGCTCCTGTTCCTATTCGGAACTAGGCCTCCCTGCTCCAATACTAAACCCTGCCAGCTCAATTATCCATTGCCAAATCCTGTTGGGTTCGATCTGCTGATGCATATAAATAGGGGGTCTCAACTCCTATAGTCTGCTCCGTGTGAACTTGAGCGCTGTGCTCGGCCTTCCTGTCTAAGCTGTCAATGGAGGTTGAGCACAATGCTCTGCTCGAACTTCTGTATTGGAGGTGACGGGTTCCTTAAAAAAAACCTGTCACCTCCAAATGCTATCACACAGGGGCTTGTTAGCTCCTGTGTGATGATAGCAATAAAGTTAAATTAAAAAAATAATGCCCGGCTTTCTGATTGGTCAGTAAGCAAGGCAGCCTCATAAAGAACCTGGGCTTCATGGGCATCCTGGAAGCCGGATGCCAGTTCATGATCCGCCGCCTGTCTTCCTGATAATCAGGGCACAAGGCACTGGTACTCGGTATTGGCGAGTACTAAAAAAAAATATCCGTTCTCGCACTCGATACCGAACAACCAGTATGGGTGCATCCCTATTGGAAATGTTTTGAATGAATTTTGACAAGTGCTGCCCATCTGTGACCCAAAGGGGATGAGTTAAAGGAGAACTACGGGGCTAGGGCTTTTCCCCATAGTTCTCCTTAGGGTAACGGGAGGACACAAACTAGCGTCCTCCCGTCACCCTAAGCTCAGTATACCGCGAGCTACAGCTCGCGGTATACTGAGACGCCCGCAGCTGAAGCGGATCCAGACAATTATGTCAGAATCCGCCCAGCTGCGTGAGTGATAGCTGGCTCTGCCTATCTAGAGGCAGAGCCAGCTCCCCCTCCCCCGTCCGTTCCGCCAGTCAGCTCTGGGGGATCGGAGGGGGGAATCCAGCCCCTCCCCTGTCACGGCAGAGAGCCGTGACAGGATTGAGAAGTGAGCGAACGCCGGTATGTGTTCGCTCACTTCCCGATCTACTGAGCCGACCTGTGACAGTTTCATTGTCGCAGGTCGGCAAGAACTATGAGGTGAGTGAAAAGCACTCACCTCATAGTTCTCCTTTAAGTCTGATTTGGGGTCTTCTATTTACACAGCAGTTTTGTATATATTTTGGAATAATACATTTCACTCTTACTGGCCGTTTTTCCATTTTTTTATTTTTTTATTCTTTATTTTAAAAGCCTCAACCAGCAAAAGTAAAAATGCCGGCAGCAGCCCCCAGCACACAGCCAGCTATAATGAAACCGACAGAAGAGCCTCCAGCATACACTCAAATTGCAAAAGTTAGTATACCTTTTTTTTGCATTTGGACAACTGCATTTGATCATCAGCATTTGACTGGACATCAGTCAAATGCTGATGATCTAAGATTCATGTATAACCCTATGTTGAATTATCCTTAGGAACACGCTCTGGCTCAAGCTGAACTCCTTAAACGGCAGGAGGAGTTGGAGAGGAAAGCAGCAGAATTGGATCGCAGGGAACGAGAGATCCAGAGCCTAAACCAGCCTGGTGGTGAGTGAGTTTGTCATGATTTTTGTGCTGATTTCTGTAGAAGAAGACACTATCACATCATTTGTATTACTGTTGATAAGTTACATGGCCTGTATAGCTTGACTTTCATGTATAAGGCCAATTCTATTTTTCTTTTTTAAAGCGGGACCCTTGCACAGTTAAAATAAGCAGCTCTCAGTGCAGTACTGACCCTTTCTTTGATGTGATCTCCTGCTGACTCGCTGCCCTGCATTCCAGCACCAGTCCTCTTTTTAGATTGAATGCCCAGTGTCAGTTATTTTATTTTTCTTTTACGTGCCAGGGCCTTGTCCTATTGGGGAGACAAAAGGAAGTAAGTAGAAATCTCTGTAAAGTGAGGGGCAATCCACTCTGGGACAGTTGTCACTGGAACAGGTATCTATCCGATTTCCCCGCACCTTGTGTTCTAGAGACAATCATTGAATTATGAATATTATATCTTTTATATAATCTCACATTCTCTCCTGGTAACAAAGGTCAGGACAAACAGAGAGGGTTAATGTTACCAGAGGAGACAGCGACAGCAAGGGAAAACCAGAAAGGAGTTTAAACACTTCCACATTATATCCACACTCTATCCAAAACTAAAAAAGGTTTTGGTTTAGGTACACGGTATAAAAAAAATAAGTTTGCTCCTGAAAGCTCAAATGATGTAATACTTATTTCAGTTAAAGTTAAAGACACTTAACTCAGGGGTTAAATCTTAAAAATGCATTCAAGTACCCTATTAACAAAACTGTATCTTAGTGTGTATCACTCAGCTGTAGATCCCCAAAATCATCTCTGAATTGGTGCTGACATTGTTCTTCCTTCTGGAGGGTGGCTACTTTTGTCCCCCATGGTCCCTATGTGTGCTATAAAGTAGTCACTGTACCAACTCGCTCCCGTGATGGGTTACAATTTGGGATGTCCCGATACCAGGCATTTTCACGAGTACTTGTGAAAATGCCCCGATTCTTAAGGCCGATACCAGCCCTTTACATTTTTAAACAGCAGCGGCTGTACGAGTTCCCGCGCTTGTGGGTAACTGCAGATAGCTGTCCATGGCAGTGCCTGTCCGGTACCTTATCTCCTTCCTGGCACAGGCATAGCCATGGACAGCCTTAGGGGCATAACTACTGGCGGTGCAGTCGGAGTGGCCGCCCCAGGGCTAAAAGCTGGGGGTTCCCACCGCCCGCTGACAGGGGAGGACTGGGTTGAGAGAAGGATGGAGGTCAGGGGGGAAAGCAGCCGTGATGGTCAGCCGGACGGCCGACGGACATGGTCTGCCAGTAGAAGAGGCTGGGGCCTCTTCCACCAGCAGAATACATGTCCCCAAAGCGGAATACTATTCTGCCTTAGGGACATGTGTTCGGCTTTGGGGACATGTATTCAGTTCTGGTGACATCTGTATTTAGCTCTGGTGAGAAACTACCCTAAAATCATCTGTCTGTGTTGTTTTAGAAAAAATGTCACATGTCCCTTTAAGAAAAAGTATCGGTAATTGGTATCAGCAAGTACCTCAGGGAAAGTACTTGGTCTTTAAAAAAAGTGGTATCGGGACATCCCTAGTTACAATCGCACATTTAGTTAGACTACAATCTCAATAAAGGTTAGTTAACCACTTGCTGTCCGGGGCATTTCCTTTCTATTTGCACACACATGATAAAATATAATTTTTTTTGGCTAGAAAACAGCTTCAGCCCCCCAAAAAACGATGTATGTTCTGAAAGCAGAGGCTCTGTAGAATAAAAAAAATGCTAGTTGCAATTTTTTTTGCTGCACGGTTTTTGCGCAAATGTTTATCAAACCGGTATTTTTAGGAAAAAATAAATGAAATAAAAATTTTGTGCACAGAAACATAATATAATACCCATTTTTTTTTTGTTAAATATGAATGACGGGATCACATCGGGTAAAGCCCGTGTCAAGCCTTAAAATTTCCCATAGTGAAAACTTTAAAAGCTTTTACCGCTCATCAGTTTAGTGTTAACAGTGATTAATGGCCCTAGAATTATTGCTCTCACTCAGACGTTCGTAGCGATATGTAGCATGTGGAAGCCGCTGGATCTCTCTCCGATCATTGCGGGGAGACCTGCCTCGCCGCTCCCGTGTGCCGCACAGGGACAGTGGTGCCCGGGGAAGTCAACGGCGGGGGGGGGGAGTGGATAGCGCCACACAGTACAAACAATCCGGCGGCTATGCAGACGGCGGGTCGCTTGTACATTACCATCGTCTGCTGTTCAAAACGATACCAAGAATACGGCTGCTGCAGCAGCCGTGTTCTTGTTTTAACCACTTCTACAGGCCGCCGTCTATAGACATATTGAGGCCCGGAAGTGGTTAACTAAATGTAAGATTGTAACCCATCACGGGAGCAAGCTTAGAGCAGTGGCTACTTTACAACACACACAGGGACCATGGAACAAAAGTAGCCACCCTCCCGAAGGAAGTACAGTGTCGGCACCAATTCAGAGATGATTTGAGGATCTACAGCCGAGTGATACACAAATAAGTTACATTGTTGTTAATATTAAGGTACTTGAATGTATTTGTAAGATTTACCTCCTAAGTTTAGTGTCACTTCAAGTTTGATATTTAATTGTAACCTTTCCCTTCCAAGTTCCTATAGCATATTAAATAGCACTTTTACACTGACATTTTCATGCCAAAGATATGAACTTTCATGAGGTCATTATTCAGGGATTTGGTGTACATACAGTATGTTGAATCCAGTCTTGTTCTGTATGTGAGATTACCACTGGTATCAAATGTGTTTTTCCTTGAGTTGTACATGAACAACTTCTACAAGGCAGACAGAAGGAGGTCCTCTTGGGATATACTTGTGTAATAGCTGTTCATCTCTGCGTGTCGTTGCACAGAGCTGTGTTCCTGACACTAGAGGCTGAAAGGGATTTGTTTAGGAAGTAGAGCAATTGCATCTACCATAGATGGGGTTGGACGTTCATAGCCAAGTGAAGAACTCAAGGTGGAGAAATGAATGGGGAAGCAGAGTGGCATGCTCTTGTCTATGTAGTTTATCGTAGGTGTGTAAATCATATCTAGCTGAATTAACAATTTAAGGGCCTGCCCATATACCCATCCATAAGTCCTAAGCTAATGTATGGATGGCCAGTGCAAGATTGTGAAGCATCCAGTGCGGGTGCTGTACTGCACTTCACCCTCCCATTTAGAGCTGTTGTTAACAAAGCTGCTAGAAGCTGCAGCCAGCATTCATTTATAAGAGGTACACATTCTAATGTGTATGGGATGGTTAAGAGGGAAAGAATTAAGAAATGTTCTTATCATTTCAATACTTCTTTATCTGTTATAAATTGTGCCAAATTTCATCTTTTAGGAAGAAAGAATAATTGGCCTCCACTCCCTACAAATTTCCCAGTTGGTCCTTGTTTTTACCAAGATTTCTCAATGGATATTCCTGTGGAATTTCAGAAGACTGTGAAGATTATGTACTACCTGTGGATGTGTAAGTTTGGCAAGAAGACCTGGTTGGTCTAATATGTGCAATCATTTTTAGATTTTCCCTAGTGTAAGCAGTAAAGGAGTATGGAGAGTATCACAGCAAGCGCACATACGGTAGTTAACTGAGCAGCACAGTGGCGTAGTGGTTAGCGCTTCGGCCTTGCAGCACTAGAGGTCCCTGGTTCGAATCCTAGCCAGGTCACTATCTGCAAGAAGTTTGCATGTTCTCCCTGTGCTTGCGTGGGTTTCCTCCGGGTACTCCGGTTTCCTCCCACACTCCAAAGACATGTTGGAAGGTTAATTGGCTCCTGTCTAAATTGGCCTTGTATGTGAAATGGGGACTTTAGATTGTAAGCTCCCTGAGGGCAGGGACTGATGTGAATGTCGGCACTATATAAATACCTATAATAAATAAATGAGGGAAGGGAGAAGTTGCCAGAGAACAGATCATAGACTGACACAATCTTCTCTGATGTACATATTTGTGTCATGTTATATAGCCCATAGCTGACGTCACATTTGACTACTGAACATCGTATGCCAATTGCATGCTCACTGTAAGCACATCAGACAGCTGTGTTCCCCATTTCCTCCAAGCTTGCTGAACACCTACCCCCTCAGCTCTAAGTACCTCATAACTGTTCGATTACTATCATTATACAAAGCGATTACTGTGTATGTAAAACCAAAAGGAAAATCGAATACACTGCAGCGTACCAGTTCTTAGATGTATTGCCTACATTCCCATTTTTTATCTTGAACTGGTAAGCTACTTAAACGCTTCCGGTTCCTAGGTGGCTGCACTCGCTGTACCTATTGGGGGAGCAATGTTTTCACACAGGCTGGACTTCAAACATGTCTGCCTTTTGTTGTTCTTTATGCTTTCTATTGAGCTCATAGGTCGTGACAAGATCCCTGCATTTCTGGCAAGGTTAACAGGCATTTTCTATACTTGCTAAAAATGTTCTTAGCCTGAAAATTGTAAACTGAGTCAGCCACCTTATCTAAGGACTGGTATTTTCAATATATACATTTTTGTTCTGGTTTTAGATAGTTAAAGAAGATCTATTGGGACATCCCCATAGTTAGAGCTCACATGTGACACTGCAGCTGTCACACGTCAGCTCTATAGATTGAGAACTGAGCGATCACAAGCCACTGATCGCTCAGTTCCCGATTTTTTTCTCAGTCAGCTCCCCCTACAGGGATTCCTCTCTCCGTTCCTCCAGTGCTCACTGGTTGGACAGAGCAGGGGGGTGGGGGAGGGGTTGTCACAGCTGGCTCTAGAGAGGCCGAGCCATCTGTCAATCAGGTAGCAGAGTCATCCCGACAATATCCTGATCATTTCCAGCTGCAGGGCGGCTCTGCACTGCTAGCATATAGCAGGCAATAGGTTAGTTCTTTTTTTAAGCCTGAATGGCTCACAATGCATATTCTTGCCCCTCTTAGTCTTTTTTGGCAATTTTACTAGCATTTTTTAATGAACAATATAACTAGATGATATGTTGTTTTTATTATGTATGTGGAATTCCTCTTATATCCCGTATCCAGCATAATTCAGTAATAACATTTGTATGGCAAAGACGTGGCAGAGAATCTTTCAGAGATATCACTGTGTATTAACCGCTGACAGCACAGCTTAGTAAACAGCGTTTGATTTGGGGTTTTGACTTTTTTTGTGCTATTCTTCTTTTTTTACAGTTCATACAGTCTCCCTTTTTGTAAATATTTTCGGTTGCCTGGCCTGGTTCTGCGTTGATTCAAGCCGAGGGGTTGACTTTGGGTTGGCGATCCTGTGGTTTTTGCTTTTCACCCCTTGCTCCTTTGTTTGCTGGTACAGACCACTTTATGGAGCATTCAGGTACAGTAAATATTTAAGCTTATATTGTGTAGCAAATCTCTCGGTTCTTGATTTTTAAAAGCCATTACATTTTAGAAGTTCACCCTTTCCTCTGTTGCTAGTCGTCTTCCATGTTCAGCGACTTTGGCCTCTTGATTGGCTGGCTTGAAGTAACTCGTGTGCATGGGAGTTACTTCATCTCGGCTTTCCCGATCTGTGTACTGAGCTGCACAGAAAAATTGCTCACAGGCAGTTAGATGATTGTTGTCAGGAGAGACTTCTGCCAAAAAAAGTTGCCTATCAGCAATTTTCTTTATAACTTACACTTCTGCTTTGTATTTTATATAGCATGTTTACAGAAAAATAATAATCAGTAACCACTGTGTGCATTAACACTGGATACACTTAGGGCCCATTCACACATACAGCGGTGATCTGTGTTTTACCACACCGGTCAACGCCGGTCACACAAGGACCTTGTTCACACCACAACTCAGATGTGATGGGTGGTGCATTATTTTACAGCACACTGAATGCCCCTGCAGGTCACTGCACGCCAGCACACCCTGCTGTTGTACAGTGGCTTGAATGGAGTGTACACAGTGTACACAGTGTACACTAACAATAAAGTTAAAGAAGAAAAATGTAAATAGTGATAGCTGCATTTTAAGAGATTGACTAGTGTGAATGGGCCCTAAAATAAAACGTTTAACAGTTCCGCAGGCCTCGAAGTGTCGGGTACATGCGGATTATAAAATGAGCTAAACAGACCTGCTCCACAAAATAAACTCGCCTCTAAGTCCTCATTCACATCGGGCAGCTCCCGGGAATGACAGGTGCTGCGTGTAATTTTGTACGCAGCAGCCTGTCCTTCTCTATGGGATTACGCGGCCATGCGCTCACCCGACCTGCACGTCCGTATGGGTGCGGGTGTCCCTGCTCGGACGCAGATAGGATCCATCCTGTCAGCGTACGAGTACGGACGGACGCGCAGGTCGGGTGAGCGTATGGCCGCGTACTCCCATAGAGAAGGACAGGCTGCTGCGTATAATCACACGCAGCACCTGTCCTTCCCGGGAGCTGCCCAATACAGCCGTGCACGCAGCACTCATCTGTACGGGCTGCCGTTACTCGTGTGAATGAGGGCTAATGGTGCAATAAGAACTTCACCATGTTGCTCTTTGTGTTGTCAATAAATATGTTGGAACGGCACATGCAAAACATTTTTAAAGGAGAACTATGTGGGCAGTGTTTTTCCCCATAGTTCTCCTTGGGGTAACGGGAGGACACAAACTAGCGTCCTCCCATCACCCTAAGCTCAGTATACCGCGAGCTACAGCTCGCGGTATACTGAGACGCCGCACCTGGAGCAGATCCTGACTTAGATGACGGGATCCGCCCAGCTGCGTGAGTGACAGCTGGCTCTGCCTATCTAGAGGCAGAGCCAGCTGTACCCGCCCCCTCCCCCGTCCGTTCCGCCAGGCCGCGCTGGCAGATCGGAGCGGGGAGAGGGGAATCCAGCCCCTCCCCCTGTCACGGCAGAGAGCCGTGACAGGATCGAGAGGTGAGGGAACCCGGTATGTGTTCCCTCACCTCCCGATCTACTGAGCCGACCTGTGACAGTCTCATTGTCACAGGTCGGCTTAGAACTATGACGTGAGTGGAAATCACTCATGTCATAGTTCTCCTTTAAAGTGTCTGGCATCAAGCTGCATAAAGTAAACTTAAATGGGGGCTGCCATGGCTTACCTCTTACAGAAGTTTCCTGGATGTTATGCTGTATGGAGTCACTGTTTCAGAACAAGGATGTATATTTGGAACGTCAGGACGAAGTATTTTATCTGCATACTTGTTAAGTGGTCAGTGACTTAAGGAACGAATGCTAGATGGTCAGTGTAGCAGCCAGACAGATAGCATTTTCAGAAACCAAGGTCAGTGGTGGCAACCTCCATGATTATCTCATGTCAGTTTTCATTGAAAGGTGCCCATAGACCTTAATTGAGTCTCCCATTGTGGCTTTTTTTTCAGCCCAATGGAATGAGTTTGTAATGTCTGTGAATTGCCAGCTGGGGGTCATCTTGGAAATAGGATAAGCAGGATACAAATTGTGTCTAATCTGGATTTGTTTTTTTCTCTGATAAGTCCGTGCCATAGATGTCTACGGCATGCATTCTCATTATTTTGGATTCCAGCCACAGGCTCGGATGTTTTAAGATGGTTGCATGCCTGACCACCATGCAGAACAGATATCTATATTCAGCACTTGGCCTGAACCTTATTTTCCAGTAAACTTGTAAGATTTTTTTTCAAATCTGGTAAAAGGTTGAAGAAAAGTACAGAAATAGTTAAGGTAAAAAATTAACAGAGACTTTTCAGCAGCACTCTGAGGGCCATATGGAAGCTGCCCACTTGAAGGCTTGTTTCCCTTCCTGATTATTTCCATAAATAGAGTTTTAATGAAGCCCTTACACAAAAGCTCAAAGCTTCTCGATACTGAACACATTGTCTGGCGGACAAGACAGCGTACTTTCTGGTAAATGAAAACACACTTTACACTTGGCTGAACTAAAGAATCTATAAAGGGAAAGTCTGCAAGATGGCGCATAAAGTTGTAAATGGATTCAGTTATCCAGGGTGTGTATCAGCTTGCCAGGATGATCCCAGGATCATGTCATCTTTGTGTGATGCCTCTCCGTTTTACAAAATAGCATCACATTAAGAAAATAACAGGGCCCCATATTTATAGCTGAACTCCAACCTTGCCTTCAGTCTAAAGGTGCCCATACACTGTACGATTCTCGTACGAGAATCGCGGGAAATCCTGCGATAGTACGACAATCGTACAGTGTATGGAAGGCGTGCGACCGTTTCTACTGTACGGTCGCACGTCTTCTGTCGAACAAGCAGGCTGGAAAACCCGCCGAGAATCGTACGATTCTCGGCAGGTTAATGGCCTGCTTGTTCTACAACTGCCGAACGGTCGGTGTGCGCACGCGCACACTGCCCGTTTGCAGAGATCGGAAGCCCGCCCCTCACTGCGGTCATCAGAAGCCCGCCCCTCAGCGGGGCGGGCTTTCGATGATCGCAAGTACGATCTGCCCGTCCAAGATGGGCAGATCGTACGAGCTTTCAATGAGCTTACGACCATCGCAAGACAAAGGTCTTGCGATGGTCGTAAGGTGTATGGGCACCTTTAGACAGTTACAAAAGCTGCCCTCCTTTACTAAAATTACTCACTCTGATTTCACTGCACACTGTGAGCTTCTCATTGCCTGCATTAGAAGCTGCAGTAAGCCACACAGAGCCTGCCTCATTTTCTGGCTGTAGGGCATTCAGCATAAGCTGGGGAGCATGCTCTCCCCAGCCTCCCCCTTTCATTCATTGGATTTCACTGTAGGGATGCACCGATACTTTTCGAGTACCCGTGCCGATACTTGGCATTTTCATGAGAACTACCGGGTTACAGCTGGGACCTGGCTCTGGTACTCCACCACTGTCCTGAAATCATTAGTCTGTATTGTTTTAGAAAAACTGTCACATGACAATAAACAAAAATGTATCAGTACTCGTACTTGTAAGTCCTCGGCAAGTACCAGTACTCGTACTCGCAAAACTGGTATCTGTGCATCCCTTTATTTATATTTATAAAAACAAAATCGTAATTAAAACAGAGATTTACAAATCCCAGGAGCTCCGTGTGCTCCTTACACATGACAGCTGCCTCCTAATTTTTTAATTTTTCTCTAGTGTAGTCTTGGAGCTCAAAAGTATCGGTACATGTATTCGTACTTGTACCGAGTACTGTACTTGGTATCTGTGCAACCCTAGATTTCAGTTCTTTCAATCACTAAGACTCCGCATTTTCCGCATCACATGTAGGCATCACATAGGGCAATAAGCAAATACAGTCTACATGTTATAAATGTGTAATATAACCCCACTTCCCAATTTGAATATTGATTGTCCTATATTTTGTTTCTCTGCAGGAGTGACAGCTCTTTCAGGTTCTTTGTGTTCTTCTTTGTGTACATCTGTCAGTTCGCTGTGCATGTTCTACAAGCTGCCGGGTTTAAAGGCTGGGGTAACTGGTAAGTCATGTCATTGGCTTGGGTCTGAAAAATGGGAATATCTAGAGCTGGAATGCTTTTAATTATTCTGAGCCTTGCGTATAAAGCCAGCCATACACAGCCCAGATTTTGGACAATTCCTGCATCACCTTGTCAGCACCACCCGGCTCAGCAAAAATCAATCTAAAAATTGACTGAGCTGGGTGGAAAATTGTTGGCCGAACAGTGACTGCTTCCTATCACACAGCTCCCTTAAAGGAGAACTATGAGGTGAGTGAAAATCACTCTCCCTCATAGTTCGAGCCGATGTTTGACAGTGAAACTGTCACATGTCAGCTCAATAGATCGGGAAGTGAGCGAACACATACCGTCGCTCACTTCTCGATCCACTCCCTGCAGAGAGCCATGACTGTCGGTCATGGCTTCCTGCAGGGATTCCCCCCTCTCCGATCCTCCAGTGCAGACTGGAGGAACAGCCGGGGGAGAGGGCGGGCACAGCTGGCTCTGCCTCTAGATAGGCAGAGCCCGCTGTCACTCACGCAGCTGGGTGGATCTCAACAATATTGTCGGGATCCGTCCCGGCTGGGGCGGTCTCAGTATACATAAAAATCACATCAGCATACAGATCTGCGAGCTGATGTGAAATCATCTTACATTCATTGGTTAAATATATTTTTATTTGACTTACAATTTCTTTTTCCCCCCACTTCCTGGTCTTCTCTGGCACAAATGATGTAATCGTGCCCAAGTGTTGCATCCTGGGAAGGTTACATCAGCAGAGCATTGCTGGGAAATCTCATCTGTAATCTCACAAGATCTCAGGGAAAGGCATTTTCCTCCCCTGAGATTATGTGTATGGTCACATGTCCTAGTCACATGTGCCAGAGTTCCAGAAAGTCAAGGGAGAACTAGTAACCTGCCCTTTAGTAAAAAAAAAAAAATGGCCACTGTCCGAAGACTGGGCTAGAAAAGAGAAATAAGTTATGGAAAGAATACAAAGCCGGCAATTACCTGCAAGTATCTGTTTGTAGATTGTCATTATTAAACATTTCTAAAGGTGCTTCTGTTGTTATTTTACAGATATAGGTCTGGGGTATGGGTTCTTCTTTAATATAATAGCTTATAAGGACTGGTATAGCTTTCTCTGTTCCTACAGATGCAGTAGATGTGGCTGTAGGAAGTGAATGTTCAGAGTGGGTACTGTATTGATACACCAGCAGTGCGTGGTTGTGTGTCTGCCATTTTTATTTACAAAAGGTGTAGCCCTCTAAGAACTACTAGTCCTCCCCCACAAGCATACAGGGTGGTGCCCAATAAGTCCCTTGAGCTTGTCTTGACACTAGCCTGTAAACCATACAAGCACCCTACCCCCCGCGTCTGCACATCCATTTCATTAGTAAGTGCAGGTAACATATGGAAGTATTCCGTTTTATGAATGGTAATGAAGGTGAATTTTTAGAGAAGTCTGATTTACATTTGTTCTTCTAACTGTGTCGAGAATACTTAGTTGTACTGCTGCCAAACATTGTATTGCACTAGATTTGATTTTTGAAGAAGCTGTCGGAAATTTAAAGTGGATGTGTTTTTTATAGCTACCAGATGCTTTCATTGTTCACCCCAGATTATATTTATTGTGTGTTATTTGCAAATACAACATTTAGGAATTCACTTCTCATATAGTTAAATATTGGTGCAAGAAGCACAAAAACATATTCATTTTATCTCTGGGAGCTGAAGAATTAACACCTTGATTTTTCTATCCCGCCAGATTTTGTTAGGGGGTTCTTTTCCTTCTTGCTCCGGTCTTTTACTATAGCTTTACTTCAGCGATGCAGAACCTTAGTACCTGTCAGAGTGCAAGAGCTTTGCTGTTTACATTGCTGGCGGTGTTCTCAATAATAGTATATGTGGAATTATACTCCGCTCGAATGATGCAACCTCCCACAAAGATTCATTGCAGGTGCCGACATTGTCTGAGTGTATCTGCCTTGAGTTCAGCTTTATTTATAGCTATGTATATTAATATGCACATGCGGTGATATATTTGGTCTTTATCTTTGCAGTTTATTACTCTGATAGCTGACATTTTAGACAAATCTGTTAATACCTCCTAGTTTGTTCCCTGACTTTTCTGCAGATGCCGTTAAACATTCTAACGTAAACCAGCTTTTTTTTGTGTGTAGTGGTCTTTATGAGATACAATGCGGTATCAATAATGTGTAAAGAATTGGAATACTAATTGCTGGACTTTTTCTTTCAGTGGATGGATTTCTGCACTTACTGCACTAAACATGAATATTCCAGTGGGGATAATGATGATTATAATATCTGCCCTATTCACAGCTTCTGCAGTAATATCACTAGCAATGTTTAAAAAGGTAAGGATGTGACATGAACTGTTATAACTAGATTTGTGAATTATTTCTAATACAGTATTATTTTTTCTGCGGTCAGCAGACTTTTTGTTCTAATGCATACCTGCTTGTGAACATTTTCTATCACACGTCGACATGTACCGTATATACTCGAGTATAAGCCGTCCCGAATATAAGCCGAGGAAATGCCTATGGAATCAGATTCTTTACATTACATATGGTTAGAGGTGGCAGGTTGGGGCAGCAAATATTGATGAAGTTGTGATCATATGGGCAGGGTTACATTCATATGTCAGTTTCTCTTCAGTGGGTGTAGCGTGTCCTGTGTCTGGAAATGAAGCCAGGTAGCCGAGGAGAAGACTGTGCTTAGCTGGGTGAATAGGAGGTCACGATATTATGTGACTGCGGGGTTGGTGCATCATTACCGGTCTGTGTCATATGTTTTGTGGAAATAGGCTTTAATGAACTTTCATGGTAAGCAGGGAGTGAATAATATGTAAATATCTACATCCCTTTCACATATATTTGTCCAGTCCCCCTGGAAACTCTGGTTACATTAGTATTTTAAGCTGAGGATCAACATAATCAAGTCATAATAATGACCATAACCTATTTAGTTCTGTTAGGCCTGTAATGGCTCTTAAAGTTTCACATGTGACCAGTACAGAATATTCACATGTTGCTATGTAAAAGCAATGTAATGCTGGATAAGGCTGGGTTCACACCTAGGCGTATCGAATATACGCGTTTGATGCGCGTTATTACCGCGAGTAGCGGTAAAAAAAATGTGCTACAAACGCGCGTTTCCGAGGGTTTCCTGGCTGTATCCCAATGGATACGCGCGGCAAATACGCACCAAAGAAGCTCCTGTACTTTGGGCGTAGGGCGTTTTGTAGCGCGTTTATACGGTCTGTAATACGCCCAGGTGTGAACCATACCCATAGGAAATAATGGGATTTCGGTGTTTGAGCGTTTTGCAGAGCGTGGGAACGCGCTACAAAACGCCCAGGTGTGAATCGGGCCTACAGGTAAATCTCTCGCTTCACAATACAAATGTATCACAAGGGGGGTGTCCCAGGTGGAGTTTTCTTTAGTATTATTCAAATTTGTGTTCAAGTGTGGGTTAACTTACGCTGATTGGTTTTTGGCTTTATAGTGATTGATAACACATTGTTGAATGGGCAATTAGGCATAACGATTTCATTAGATCTGATCAATGCACAGAAACTAAAGTTGGGGCTGAATGGGAGAAACCACTCTATCCTCCCCCCCACATTAAACAATCTCTCCTGCCAACTATTGTGTTGTGACAGTCAACACCCGCAGCAGTCAGAATACCTAATCAGTGACTGCAGCTGATTGGCTGCACTCCCTGGTTGGTTGATTTTTTTTTTTCCACCTGGCTTTTTTAATTTAATTTTGTCAAGCCATTTGTAATGTTGGCAGGGCCACTTGCGCCACAACATTCGAGTCGTGTATGGCCAGCCTAAGTGTGACAGATTGTGAAGATGTAGGGCAGGGGTCAGCAACCTTTTACACACCAAGTGCCATTTTTTAAACCATCAGACAACCGGGTGCCAGTGAACAATAGCACGCCATGGTGTTAGATACATTTCAATTTTTCCACTCATAGCTGTACTGCTAATAGTAAGTTAAACTCACAATTTTTTTTCATGTGTTTACCTTGCCATTAGCAGCACATCTATTAGTGAAAACATTTAATAACTAGTGCACACACAAACCATATTCATATTTACATGTGCTGAAAAGTATACTGGACTTACAGTTTTAACATGATCCCTGTGTCTTTGATGGCTCAGTTGTGCTATGTCTGGCCTGTAGGATGTTACTTTCAGCTGACCTTAGACCAGCACCAATGCATTCTTTGAATGCCAGACCTCAGAGCAACACCAATACCCTGCAGAGTTAGATCGCAGACCAGCAGTAAACACCATGACCATTTCACCACACTTTAGCCTGCATATCAGCCACAGAAACTGTATGACTGATAAGTTTTCAGTTTCTCGTGTTTGAAATTTTTTTATTTTAGAAGCAGCCTTCCTTACCTACATGGACCAAGGCATATTAGGCACACACGCAGACCCATACAAGTGCACACAGTAATATTAACCACAAAAAGCACTGATTTTATTCCTGTTCTACATATAAGGGCAGGAATAAAATCAAAGCTATTTGTGGATCAATATACTGCTGTGCATTTGTGAGGGCATGCATGTGTGTTGGAAGGAGTTTTAATGTTTATGTATGTGAGCAGTATACATGTGGTACCTGCTGTATATTCCAGATGATCGTCTGGCTCCTTTTTCTGTGCTGGGGCAGGGTGTGCAGTAGATTCCTCCTGTCGGGCAGGGTACAGTAATCCCGTCCCATCACATCAGGCGTGGGTGAGCCCGCTCCTGTCTGGCGGGCTGGCACAAGAGGGATCCTTCAGGCAGGAGCATGCGCAGAACGAGCTGAGGGCTCCGTCAGCGCGCCTCTGCGTTCCTATGCCGTTCAGCCACGTCACTGAGGTGGGTGGGCCAGTAAATGTAATTGACAGCCGGCTCGAGGGAGCTGTCAACTACAAGCAAACAGGTCGACTCGCGTGCCAGCTGTCAAGGTCTCACGTGCCAGGCTGGGCACGCGTGCCGGGGGTTGCCGACCCCTGATGTAGGGTATAAGGGGCACAGAGTGAGCGAGCAAAAGGTGCAGTTAAAGAGAGGTGAGGGAGGAGATGACCATAGAGTGGGGAAATGAGAGGAGATGGAGTGGGAGGTCATTGAGGACAAGGGATAGGAGTGTTTTGCTTATGGACCACTGGGAAATGGGGCTGAACATGATTGGGGGGAAGGCAAAGGGAAGGTGATTTTAACTGGTGGAAGGGGAGCTGATTATGGACATGTATGTTTGTGGAAGCTCTGTTGAGTGTTGAGGAGAGCAGACTAGTATAGAAGTCTGCCATAATGTGCCAGCAGATGGATCTTTAGTCTCCAAAGGATGTCTTCCAGAGACTGCTTAGGAGTCTGTTGTAAACATCCTGTTGTGTACAGGACTGAATGGCCCTATTCCGGTGATTCGTCAGATGGTTCAGTTAGAAGTTTTCATTTAGACAAAGCCAGCTACAAGGCAGGCTGCTACTGACATTCTTTCCACTTAGGTAACCCATAGTGTCATGCTTTCATTTATCTGTAAGACAAAGATTTTATATCTGTTGTTACAAAACTTCAGTTAAAATGTTTTATCATTTTAAAAACCCAAAATAAAACTGACTCAAAACCATTGTAATGTCATAATTGTCTGATTACTGCTGTTCTATCTGAGATAAGGTAGGGCAGAGACAGTCTGCAGGAAAGCCTGAACCTTCCTGCTGAGGGCAGAAGCTGGGCGCCTGCAGACATTCTCTGGTGTTTGTGGGCAGCGTTGGCATTCACAGCTTCCCAGGTACATTGTGTGGTTGCTAGAAATGCTGTAAAAACTTCTTTCACACACTCATGTACATTTGCATGCATGTGTTTACATGTATTCAATGTACAGACTTAACAATTGTTCCAGACTAACAGTACAAACTAAAGTTCCTATTTCTGAAGCGGGGTACATATGCAACAAATTGCATCCAATTCGTCCGGAATCAGCCAAAATTGGCTGTTAGTGACCCTATTCCCTCGGCGGAAGCCGATCATTAGATTGACTTTTGCTGAAGGAGCGTGCAGGAAGATTTTCGGGTGAATGGTGCTTGCAGCCAATCAGCCAGCATACAGTCAGTCAGAATACAATAAAAACAGCAGAGATCCTTCTAATCTACGCTGCTCAGCATTAATGGAGGAATCTGTTCTATTTTCTTTGTTCTACCTGTGGGCTGAACCAAGAAAATATAAACGTGTTTACGGCATTATTTGGCAGCTTTGGTGTGAGAAGTGATTTGTAGAGCATATACTGATCTGTCAGCATCTATTATAGATGGTTTAATACATCATCTGCCCAATACCGTTTAATTTGTGACTCTTCTTTTTCTCCTGCCTCTCAGGTGCACGGACTGTACCGGACAACGGGCGCCAGCTTCGAAAAAGCCCAGCAAGAATTTGCTACAGGGGTGATGTCTAACAAAACCGTGCAGACTGCCGCAGCCAATGCTGCTTCTACAGCCGCGAGCAGTGCTGCCCAGAATGCTTTCAAGGGTAACCAGATGTAAGAGAGGTAGCTGCAAGTGACCATCACCAGTTCTCTGTCCAGTCACGCTCCTCTTCTCCAGCCGTGTTTGCAGCACCCCCCGAAAGACTATAAATTGCACTTGCCATGTGTATTTGCTACATTCAGGCCCATTCAGTGCCAGTTGGAAATGGAATGTCACATATTAATGCAGGCGCCTCCGGCACTCCATGGGCATATTGGTTGTGCATGGTCTAAACCAGTAATGCTGTTACTGGATCTCTTGTATACCCCTCACCATCCTTTTCCTTTTTTTTTTTTTCTTGAGTCTGCCATGCTCTGCCCCTCCCCCGACATTGTCTAATATCTGGTGGATTACTATAGTGTGAATATGGCGTTATTAGATTGCAATTGTGCTAAGGTCCTAAATAGAGAAAGTATTTTCTGATTTTTACTGCTGAAAATGCTCTTTTTTTTTTTAATGTTACAAACGCCTTTCTTGTTATGTAGTTTTACACTAAGCAGCCTATGTCCTGCTGTTAGAGAAGACAGTGATAACTGTATGTGGATGTACATGTCACAAGAATCTTCCATGTCCGCTGTGTTTATTTAATACTGAAGCACAAATGGTTTTTGGAGCTGACATGTTTGCTAAAGAGAAGTATTGTATGTACTCTCTGATTGTGTGGACTCCTAGCAGACCAGGCAAATCAAGTATGTATATATGTATCAGAATAGGTCACGTGACAAAGGTTGCTGCTTGTCTGGCCTTTGTCTGTTTTGAACTGTGCTCACTCCATATAGGTACACCATGTACTGGCACAGAGTGGGTACAATAGTTCTGTCATTGGTGGAAGTCAGAAGGCATAATCAGTGTTTATGCTGAATTCTCTACAGCAAAGATGAGCAACCTGCAACTCCCTTCCTTTTGCAGAACTACAAGTCCCAGCATGCAATTAAGGCAAGTTGAGACTTGCAGGTGCACAGCTGATGGGGATTCACTGGTCACCTTACCCTTTTTTGGCTTTTTTTGTGTGTGTTTGTGATGTCTCTTTAAGCCCTTCTGTTTTACTGTTTTTATTTAATGCAGTGCATTGTTCTTCTGTTTGTTTTCTTTAAAGTAACTTCTAGTGGAAGTGCGTTTCCTGTTTGTCTCCTTTGAAGCGTCCGCTAACGGTAGCCAAGACAGTTTCAGATCCTGTCACTGATTTTTTTTTATTTTTTTCCCCCTGGAATTTGGCATATCCATTATAATAGAACCCTGACTATAGAGGTATTTTCATTTACCTGCTAGTGTCTGTTTTTTTTTTGTTCACAAATGGTCACCTTCAATTATGATGATATGGCGTTCTTTCCTTTTTCAGGCTTTGTGCAGCATTTCTTGTTTTTTAAACTTTTACATGTAAAAGTGGTAATCCATCTTTTATCTTCCTGACCCGTAAGAATGTTAGCAACTGATAATGTCTATTTATTGTGTGATTAAATGTGTACAGGATCGATTAGCCATTAACATTTGATGTGACTTATTTAGTGTTGGCTGCCTGCATATAGCTGAACCTTTTTGATTTGTTTTCAGGCATATTTGACAGCCGACATTGACATGGGCAGGTGGAGGGCATCAGAAATTTTGTAAAAGGTGGTGGTAGTAGTAGAGTTGCATCCGTTTGCTCATAATTGAACCACGAAAATGGTTCTACTTGCCATCAGGATAATCCTCACCTATTTGGGTGGTCAGTTTTGTGTTTCTTTCTGTGAATTGGGACATCTGTACTAATGTAAGCTACCACTGCAGACCTGCCTTTTAAAGTGACTCTGTTTTAAGGGGAATATAAGGGCTGCCATTGCTGGTCTCTTTCTAAAATGTTTGTTAACTGGCTGTGCCAGACCCAGAAAAAGCATGCTTTGAGGGGTACATTAACACCAGCAGCCACGCTCAACCACACGGTTGCTGGTGTTCGTGTCCCCCGAACAGTGGCAATGTACTCGATCGAGCTGCATCATGCTGTTTCTTTTCATTTTTGTTTTTTTGTAGGACTTGGTTCACTTTGCTCATTTAGTTCTATGGGCTCACTGCAGTGCGTTTTTAAAAAAGGTACTGCATGCCGTGCTGACCAATGAGAAGCACTTCATAGCAAGAATTGTTTCTCAGCATGTCAGGTGACCGCGCTGGCCAATGAGTGCTTTCCATTTGCAAGCGAAATTCGAAATACAAAGCGAAGGGCTGCGCTGCCGTGTACGGATTATGGATAGTACACCGGCATTGGCGGAGGGGAAGGAGCAGGGTAGAGGGAGGGCGGTTTTTGCGGGCCAGATTGGTTTCGGGTAATTACATTTTCCCAGATTCGCCTGAGAAAGTGGAATTACCCTTTAAAACACTTTAACTTTATTCACAACAGCACTTTGTGACACACTGACATGCATTGTAACACATTTTTGTGTAGGGCATACAAATACAGACATAGGCTTCATTTTTATGCAACACACACCAATGCACTTGTATGGCGTTTTGTTCTCTCAGTGAACTTAATCAACACACTAATAATAATAATAACACACGTGAACCCAGCTTTCAATGCGCATGGTGTGAATGAGCGTTTAGAAACTGACTGATACCTGACCTCAGAATGTTTGAGGACAGATAACTTTATAGTACCCATAGCTAGAGAGGGCAGTGATGCCTTGTTTTAAGTTATTTTACTGCTTTAGAATATGTGAATAATTGAATCCTTTTGCTTCAAGACATAGTTTCAAACTTTTTGGCATATATGTGTCATACATTCCATCAAGTGGAATAAAAAGATTGTGGTTGAATTTTTTTTTTTTTTTATATTGCACAATATTTGTGCAAATTTTTTTTCTTTTCAGTAAAAATTACACTAAGCCCCAGATCCTTAACAGAATCACACCTTTAAGAAAGTTAAAATACAGCTGAGAAGGATGACAACAAACTCATAGTATCTGTGAGTTTATTTCCTGTTATTGCCATTCCGTTCTACTCCGTGGTGGCAGTAAAAGGGTTAGCGCCCATAGTCTGGACATAGGTGCACTTTACAAAAGAGACAGACAGGCATGGACTCTTCTCAGAAAGGTAAGCAATGGCAGCCTACATAATTCCCTTTGTACAGATTTGTTTAAAGAATGGATTCGAGCCCACAATGTACAAATGCAATAGAGCAGTCTGGGGTTGGTTGTGTGTCTTGTATTTTCATTAAAAATATAAGAGCAGTGACTACTTCGGGTCAGCGGGAGGAATAGTGTGTCATCATTCGGGTCAGCGGGAGGAATAGTGTGTCATCATTTGGGTCAGCGGGAGCAATAGGGCCTCATCCTTCGTGTCAGTGGGAGGAATAGAACCCCATCCTTCGTGTCAGCGGGAGGAATAGTGCGCCATCATTCGGGTCAGCGGGAGGAATAGGGCCTCATCGTTGGTGTCATCAGGTGGAATAGGGCCCCTATAATTTGTGAAGGTAGAAGAAAAAGTGCCCAAGGGAACTTTTTAGGCGAGCAAAGATCTTTAGTTTGGGGCCCGCTGGACTGGATAATAAGGAATTTGGAGCTGTCGCCCTCTATATGATCATTGCTGTAATCTAGTTGGTTGTACCCGTTTATATGAACTTTTTGAGATTTTTGCATTTAATTTTTTGCCGTTTTAGAAAAAGTTGTCCATTGTGAATAAAGTGTAAAGGATTGAAACTGGTAGAACAACTTTATCAAATGTTAGAAAGCCTTTCACTCGTACAACGTCTGTTCACAATGTCCATTGGTAGCTCTCTGCTGTGGGAGGAATTTCTTTTAACGTGTTATATTCCCCTAGTGTAGAAACCCCATACGGTAAATTTATGAGGCTGAATGCATGAAATTTTACATTTTGTAATTTCTCAAGAACTACAAAACAACTATGCAAAGTATTCCTTAACAATGTAATAAAGCTTCTCGCTGTGTAATTGCATGCTGTGGACTATCAGCATGAAGCTCTCGCCATATAATCCCATACTGATTATCAGGCCGCTTTTATACCTCACGTAGGTCAGCCATGTTACAGTAGTTTGTTGGCGTAACCAGAATGGCACCTCGCAGCTTCTTGTGGATTGTTAAACAAATACTTGTACAAGGTAAGTTCTGTTATAATCTGACCACCTCAAATTGTAACCTTGCCATAGATTAGTACAATGCCTCATGCAGCCCTACACTGAACTGTGACCTTTTCACCATGACTTGGGGCCAGCCTTGGAGTCTAGCTCAAACCGATTGTCTGGCTGTGAGTTCAAACCCGGATTCTAAGCATTCTACAGCTGCTATTCTGCTGATAGTACAGTACAGGGATTAATACGTCTTTTCAGGTGACACCACGGACCTCCGCCATGAGCAAGCACTTCTTGTAAGTGACTCTACCCCTACACCGCCACCCAGTGATTGCTAGTGAAGTGAATTGCCATAGTGCTAGAGCTTTATTTTCTCTGTGTGGTTTTGTGTATATTAAAGGGAAACTACAGTGTTTTTTATGACTTATTTTGAGTTGTCATTGAAAAATGTACCAGAGCGGCATTTTTGATGTGATTTTCACATATATGTGTTCTGTAATGTCTTGTGTGTGAAATGTACAGGTCTGTAGGTCCTCTCTCTGGTGACGGTCTCTGTGTCAGATGAGTGTAGAGGGCATCTCTAAACAACTGCTCACATTAAACTCCCCAGTTAAACAGTCCTTTGTGTTCCTTCAGGCTGAGCAGAATGATTGACTTGCAATCAGAGATAAAGGAACAATAAAGTACAGTCACTGCACAGCAGCTCTAAGTAGGGAGCACAGCATGCATAGGAAATGGGTAAATGTGGTTGTATAGCTCTACATATGGACAAGGTATGTAAAACCTTTACACACACCAATTGAGTTTTCTAATCTAATAACTTTGTTTATGGACTGTTATGTCCAACAACCTTTAAACAGACTATACTTTCCTCTTAAACTATAGAAAGAGCTTTGTCTTATCTATGATTTGCATCTTAAGGCTTGGCTGGATTTTTCTGCTTTGCATTTATTAAACTTGTATTGCTGTGAGTAATGTATGAACAGCAATAAAATGCGGGGCAGGCATTTCAAGCAGCAAGCAATGGAAGCTACTCTATATAGCTGGCGCTTTCTATGTCCTAGTTCTAATTGTCTTATTGGCCTTTGGCTTTTTGTATTGGACTCTGCAAGCACTGACTGCCTCCATGAAGCATTCTACCTGGCCAGACCAAAGGTAAAGACTAGACTGAAATAAAACATATCATTAGTAGGGGGAACTAAACTGATCTAGTGGCTGATGTCTCTACCTCCTGATGACCAGCAACTTGCATTGTGGTTCCTGGTAAATCCAAATCAATCTTCCTAGCATTGACCATACTTGGAGGAAATATGACAATGTATTTCCTTGGATTAAATCAAAGCAGTCTTAAGAAACCACTATTGCTGTGTGAATACCGAGAAGGCTGCTT